TTTAATAAGCCCTCGACATTCATTATTTTTTCTATCTACTTTTAATAAATTGTCTTTTAATTTTAATATACCCTTTTTTAACGTTGGGAAATGCATTTACGCACGAGGTGTGGGACTCACCGGCAAAGCCAGTACTACCCACTAAAACCCAACAAAACCTTCCCCCGTCTTAATGGGGCGTCGCAGGATCGCTTACGCATTCAACTACGACGCCCCGACGGCAGGTCTGCCGAAGCAGACCACAACAACCACGGGGTTGCTCCACAGTCCACTCTGCTATCAGAGAAGTACCAGGAGCAACCCACATGGTACACCGCCCACCAAAGAGGGCCACCTCCCACCGCCCACCGAAGTGGGCTACCTCCCTCTGAGTTTCTTGGCTTCGCGCCCGGTTGGGTTGCCGGGCACTACTGAGCTCCCCTACCACGACAAGGTGAACGCACGTTGGAGGGGAAATTTAATATACCTACTGTAATTATTGTTATGGTAGATTTTCTAGAAAATAACACCACTCGTCCGGCAATATCTAGGTTTTTAGCCCAAACAATTAGAGAAATTATAAATCTATGTGGTAATTTCAAACATTTTCGAGAATCGAACGTGCTACTTCCTGACATTGGATACACACTATGCCACAGCGGTTATTAACAAATAAATAAATACATATTGATAAAATTATCACTATCCTTATATACAGAAACAATTTGCACACGCTTACAAAATGCGTGGGATGGAAAATAAAGTACACAAATAGGTTTTATTATTTACTAGCGACTCACCCTCGCTTCCCTCGCGTTCGTCCTTATAGTAGGTACGTTTTAAAGGTTAGTATGAAATACAAATCTTTGAATTTATCGGCTTTTCTGTACTATAATATGCATGTATTATACAAATAATATAAACTTTCCTCTTGAATCACTCTATCTATTGCTGAAAACTGCATTAAAATCCGTTGAGTAGTTTAAAATATCTAAGATTTAAATTTAAAACGTACCTAGCGACGAACCCGAGCGAAGCAAGGGTGAGTCGCTAGTAAAGTAATATAGTAAAATTAAAGTATATAAGTCGAATATGTACATTAAATATTTTTTGGAAAATCTTATTGAAATAGTGATTATTATTGATACAGAGGCCGAATCCATCGTTTTTAGAATTTTTGTGAGTCTGTCTGGGAACGCATCGCGAGAAAACCACAACACAGATTTTGATGAAATTTAGTATGATGATAGCTGGTTACCCGGGTCAAAATATAGGATACATTTTACTGCGAGAAAATATCTCATCTCTGACAAATCTATACTAACTACGAACCCGAGCGAAGCTAGGGTGAGTCGCTAGTAAGTAATATAATATTTATATATGTATCTGTAAGAAAACAAGTATTACTTTTTAGTTTTTCGTTTAATTGATGTAATAAAAATAGTTATTTTTAATAGTAAAAAATATCATTATTTTTCTTTTTAAGCATCCTTGATTAAAAGATAAGTAGGTTTATGAGACGTGACCAGCAATGCATTATATTTTATTAAAAGAAGAAAAAAAATTGTCTCATGTTGTAAACTTTACTTTCCGCCATTTAAAAATAAATCCTGTTTAAAATTTAGCACATCTCACGAGATTAAACTTTGCATAATAAAATGCCAAAAAGAAATTTATAGATATTATATAGATGCTTAATATAAATAAATCGTTAATTATCGCGTTAAAAGTCGCTTATTTAGCATATCACAACCCTTACTTAATGTTTTAGTTGTTCGTATATATTATTATTAACATTATTGTCCTCGGCTTTAAATATGTCATATAAATAAATAGTAAAATAATAAAGTATTTGTTTGTTATTTTTGCCATCAATTTTAAAGTTTTTGTAATTCATCAGTAACAGTGGAACATTTTTTTTAAATGTTGCTATATGATTAAGTTTTAATTAAGCGCGTATAGCTGTTCATTTAAATAATTCTCATTTTAAATAAAACTGTATTGTCGGATATATTCGCGAATTTAAATTCCTGAAAAAATCCAAAAACAAGAGGCGAACCCGAGCGAAGAGAGGGTGAGCCGCTAGTTTGACATACGAACTTTAACTTTCGGGCTCGGAACTCGAACTCTAGGCTTGAACCCATTTAAACTAACCACCAATAATAGAAAAGCAATACCATAAATTAAGACAAGTCTATTGTTAATTATATTCCGTAATTGTTGTGAAACCCAGTATCATATTGTGTCTTAATATTACCGACTCATTTCTTCGCTCGGGTACATCTATTATTATTTATTACTGCAAAATAACCATCTAGAGACAATTTTAAAACATTTAAATTTCATTGTAAATTAAGTAATTATACTTATTTTTTTAATTATTATCATTTTGAATTTGGTAATCTTCTCGAATATCTTAGTCATTATGTTAATTGTAGCGTAAATAAGCATTCAACGAACTCATGTGACAATATCTGTTGACTTAACTAACAGCGTGTTTATTTAGCAAATATGTTGATAATTATGTTAAATATGTCACAATAATTATATCAACTAAACATATTCGTATACAACTGGAGGAACGGATGGCGGAACTAATGAATAGTATTCGAATCCCTGAGCTCAGAAATCAAATATTTATTTACTAGATTTAGATCTAATGAAACTATTTTTTTATTATTAGATATATTCTATACTAGCAACATACGCTCGCTTCGCTTAAAAATTCGCGTAAATAAACTTATGTGGGTTTAGGAAGGCAAAAAATTAAACGTCCTAAGAAAAAATCTTATTTTCGACTATAACTTTTGCAGTATAACATAATAATCCACCAGAATTTTATCACAATCGAATCAACGGTTTAGGAATGCATGGAGAATAAACATACGAACATTCATTTTTATTTATATAGAAGATATGTGTATCTTAACAATAATACTAAAAATAGTAAGTGTTCTTTATATAATGTACCAAAAGGTATTCAAAATATAACAAAACATTAATTGTTAATTTAAATCTTGTATTGAATACTTGTGACATACTCTCGCTTCGCTCGGGCGCGTTCCTAGATACGTTTTAGATAGATATTAATAGTTATTGCGAGTGTATCTTAGGAGAAATACTTATGCGATTGCAGATTTTTCTGTAGGCCTTATTAAAACCTACAAAATAAAATTTTGTTGTACATTGTTTTGATGTACATATCTCTTAAGGTTAGACTGCGTTAAACGTGTAAATTTCTTAGCACGACTCGATAGAACCATTTTTTGTGTTATATTATATTTTTTGTGAAAATTAAAGATTTTCCTTTAGTAAAAGATATCCTAAATGTTGACCCGAGTAATGAGTTATATACAATATTTAGTTAAAATCGGTTCAGTATTTTTTGCGTGAAACACGCACATCAATTTCGCTAAGTTACTGTATTATTATATGTATAGATACTAATAAATAATTATTTTTCAATTATATTATTTAAAAGATACATTACATAGAATTATTTTATTTGAAACGCAAACTTGAACATAGATAACAAAAAATAAATACAAACGTAATAAAAGCACGTGGATATTATGCCATTGCAGACAAAAACATGATGTATCTAATAAAAAATAATTAAAAAGATTAATATTAAATAAAATATATGTAGAAACTAGCTCGCTCGTTATCAATATTTATTCTAAATGAATAGCCAACCGATAACCGTTCTCCCATATTAATATTTGCAAGGTATTCTGTGAGAGACAGTTCCAAGACTGACTTAGATAAGGGTGATTACAAAAAGCTTTACAATCTTTACTATACTTCAGTTAGTTTATATCTGTGATAAAAGAGTATTGTTAAATGATGCTGTTTTTCTATCTGTGCTCAACATTCGTTTTACTTTCCGCGTTCGTTGTGCTGCGGAGAGTGAAGCTTAGACAAAAGGTAACGAGAAGTATCTTTATAGAACTTCACTTCAAATAAATCGTAAGCTTTTGATTTACCTTCTTATATTTCAGAATAAATTTTGGAAGCGATACAATAGCAGAATTATAAATCGTTGTAAATCCGGTAACAAACTTCCTAATATTATGTATGTATAATATTTATAATATAAACACTTATGTATTACATATATATTACACAATCTAGGTATTCTTTGTAAACTTTTCAGTGCTGGTTCAATAGTATATAATCATTATCGACTTTTTAATTTAACATTTTCAGCGTGTGAAGTTTATTCTTAGGTAATTGTAGAGAAATATACAATTTGCTCTTTCCAACCGATTATTTTCCGTTTTGGAATAAATATATCTATACTAATATTATAAAGAGGTAAAGTTTGTGAGTTTGTGAGCTTGTGACATTGTAGAGGGTAATCTCTGGATCTACAGAACCGATTTAAATTAAATTTGGTAAGAAGATAGTTTGAGACCTTGAGAAGGACATAGAATACTTTTTATACCGAAAATCATCCCTTAAGGGGGTGAAGATGGGGAATCAAGCTAGGGACGAACCCGAGTGAAGCGAGGGTGAATCGCTATTGATCCTATAACACAAATATTTCTATTTGAACTTGTACGAAGCAATATTCTTAATATTCATCATAAATATAAATTGAAATAACATCATATTTAAGAAAATAATAATATCTTTTTTTTACAATTTAATGAGTTTTACGGACACTACTCACACACACATGACTTACTAACTAATGATAGAACAGTATTTGTGTGAATACGGCTTTAGGAAGGTATTCTATCTCACGTGACGTTCTTCCTCCTAAAAACTTCGACTCATTAATGCTAACTATTTAGTAAAGTTGTTGTTTTTTATTTAGATTTTAATATATAATAGGTATGTAAAGTTATTAAAATTATTCATTTATAATATTATTTATTTTTAATTATTATATATTATATAAATAATATTGGACTAAAATAAAATCTCAACATGAATACCCATTTTTCTGTACATATTTCTTCTTTCTACACGTTTAACAAAAAAAATTTAATGCTATTGTACATTTCCTTCCGCAGGTAGCGATGGGTAGCTGGTTGAGCTACCTGTGGTGGGGTGGAGACCCAGACGCGGTGAACCCTACGTCTGGATTGACAAAACGAGAAATATACGCTGTCCAGCAGTCCTGGGCGCCGGTGTACGCCAATAGTATTGCTAATGGAACTGAGTTATTACGAAGGTAGGCCATAAATGTTTACATCGACTACATTCAGAAATTACTGAAACAATTTCGATCTGCCTTTCACATGGCCACAATAATTCTAGGGCGAATGTCTCAATAACATTACTGACACAGATGTTCATCGTCATTTGTAGATCCTAGGTTTAAGTCCTTGTCGGGATAAGTATACTTTCTGTCACAAATTTTCGGTAACTTGGAGATATAAAATCCCTGTCTTATCACCGGTTATGTCGTGCAGTCACTTGTGTACTATAATATTTTCTACACAGCAAGTCTCAATGATATTTACTGCCGTCGCAAAATTTAACCAGAGATATATTATTATAATGAACATATAAATATATGTAAAACTAACTTCTCGGATTTTTTATATTACAGCAATTATAATCAGTCTCTCCCGTGATCATAATTGCTACAAAGCATTCGGAACGTCGGAAACCAAAAATCAATATAAATCCGCGAAAAAATCCTCAAAGATAGTTTAATTAAAAATATTAAATATTCGAGTAAATCTAAGAAATTGTTACATATACGTATTTACTCAAATATAATAATTAAAATTATTATTTTTTTGTTATTACTACACTTATTAAGCATCTAATTACTTCACAGAATTCGAGATAATCCCAGGTTATGTAAAACAATCCTATTGACACGTGTATTCGTTTTTAGTTACCTAATGACTTTTTTGTCATAGCCTCGTTAGCTATAATAGTGATTGTAAACAATAAACGTTAGTTACCTTTGAGACAATAAAATTTCTATATTATTAACCGATTTCCAAAAAGGAGGAGGTTCTCAATTCGTCGGAATCTTTTTTTTTATGTATGTTCACCGATTACTCGAAGACGCCTGAACCGATTTGGAATTTTTTTATTTTGTTTGAAAGGGTTGCCAGCCTACAGTATTTTAAGATATGACATCTAATAGGTAAATGTATATTTTACGTATGGAAATATTGCGATTTCCTTTGCATCGGCTGGCACCGACTTCGAAAATATCTGATTAGGTATCTATTCTAAATGAAAACCTTCGTTTAGTTATTTTTTACATTTTAGTGCCTGGAAGTCGGTTTTTATTTTTTGTTGAAAAGTTTTTTAACTACAGCGATTTACCTTCACTTCGCTCGGGTGCGTCTCTACGTACGTTTTTATTTTTTAGTGCGGAACCCTAATTCTTTTTCTATAATAAAAGTAGCTTAAATTACTCCTTATAACATCAACTATCTTCCAGTGAAGTCCCGTCAAAATCAGTCCAGCTGTTTCGGAGATTAGCCGGAACAAACAGGAAGACAGATAGATAAATATTTAAAAAAAATTGTCTTATAACTACCGTATATAATTACTATAACATATCGTATAAAATTCCATATGCATTTAGTAAAAAGCTATTATTTTGACATCACAAACAGACACTTTAATTTTCTTTATCTGTATAGATTAATCATATTGTTTACTGCGCGTTAGCTATCGTCATTCCATCAGAGTATTGATGGAATACTTTTTTAAAACCATTAGCAAGAAAGTTTAATTGAATTGAATTGCTTAAAATTATTACAAATACTTTTTTTGAATGGTAATAGTTTTTTTTAATTTAAAACAGATAATGTTACTTACAACTATTTTTTAACTTTCTTAAAAGCTCAAATGACAACTATTACATCATTCTCTAATCATCAAGTTCAACAATTACAACAGAATACACTATCAGCACGCTACATCTGACATTATAAAATCAAATCAAATCTAATCAAAATATGCTTTATTCAAACAGACTTTTACAAGTACTTTTAAAAATTATGTAGAGCACAAACTTCATATACTTAATGTCAGTTTATAAGTTGATATACGCGCCGGGGTGTTCAGAATAGAGTGCCAAGAGCTATGATCTCTATTATCTATATATGTATATACATAATCGTAATAACATACCTTTCGCTTATATCCTCGAAATCAAATTTTTTATTTTAGTAAAAAAAATTACAAATATACTTAATTATATATACAAAACAAATGTACACTTAGTTATTACTGTACAAGTCATGTCCGCGTGGAATAGTGGCAAGTATGCTAGCCGCATTCCCCCGTTGAATGGCAATGCCGATTATTTGAGAGAAAAATGCGCCAGCTCTCCTGTCACCAGTAGAGGTGTTAAGACGGGGTGTTATGTCTTTTAAGAAGAGCTTAGCACTTTGACTCCATGGTCCAGGGGTTTCTTTTGTGTCATTGTCTGGATATCATATTCTTTAAATCTCTTCATGCATGCTCGTATAGGTTCCTCGGACCTTTGACTCTAGCTTCTTCAATAGGTATAATAAATTTATATTTTGTAGAAAATAAAGGAATATAAGTAAAAAGGTCATATTAGTTATTATTATATAAGGTTAACTAATAATATACTAGTAATTAAATAAGGTAATTTAATGAAAGTTGTATCACTTGGCAGGTTATTCCAAACATATCCAGAAACAAAGGAATTCTTCAAAATGATCCGAAAATCTTCAGAAGATGAGTATTCTCAGAACCCACAGTTTAAGGCACATGTTATAAACCTGATGAGTTCTATCGACCTGGCGGTGAACCACCTCCACCAGCCAGACGTGGTGGCCGCTATGATGAACAAGCTCGGAGAGTCACATGGAAGACGGAAAATACAGAGAGAACATTTCTACGTAAGTAAAAAATATAATAATTTTATATATTCTATTTATTTAGTTTATTGTTACGTCACGTAATACTATGCAGGTGTAATGTGTGGGACCGATTTTTGTTGTACCTCTCGCATAAGATAAGGCACGGAAGCTAATTTCTCTTCCGTAGGATATGTATATAAATATTGTATTATATTGCAGCAACTATTGAGTATTATGCCGACTCTTTTCGGCAGAACTGCCTTTTAAGCCGGTGCACTATGGGAAAGCCCCATACAAAGCCATCTCAAAACCGTTTCACGAGAAAGTCGTTGTTATGGAATAATATATATATTTAGTATTATTAATAGTTTCAATATTTAGTATTATTAATAGTTTTTTCTGGTTTTGATACAGTTTTGACCACCTTACTTGATAAAATATGGTCACTTATCTATGTATTAGGGTCGAATTAAAAACAGGTTGGTTATGGGAAGAGTGCAAATTATTATTTTCTTATCTTTTTAAAAATTATTTCCATTAAACTTTGTACATACAAGTATATGTGTGCAAAATTACAGCTCATTTAGTTTTGAAACAACTGAGATACGGAGTTTTGAGACGAAACATACGCGATTTTCCCATAGTGCGGTGGTAGCCTCCTTATGCACCCATATGTCTAAGGCATTTAGTTAAAAAATTTTAATATAAAAATAAATATTTAAAACTGCTTGTAAAACTTTATTTGAGTATATTTTGATTTTATTTAATTTTAGTCACATTTGATATATAATAGATACCACCTTCTTCGTACAATATATTTAATAATTAATTTGACTATATAACGAACTTAGTATATAATCGTCGAACATGACGCCCGCTTTCTGTGTAAGCATTTAAATTAGGGAGTCCAAGCTTATGTGGATGATGTTAACACCATTTACTATGACATCCGTTACGAGTTCCATTCGCGTTTAGAGTAAATATTGATAATAATAATGCAAATGTTTGACACTACTGATCTTAAAGATACGATACCAATAACGACACTACTGAGCCTAAAGACTTTTTAGTACCTATTGGTAGGTAATAAGTATATATTTTTAAAGTACAAGAGACCTAGATAAAAAATAATATAAAATATGCTCTACAAAGCGAATGAGTGCTTAAACCCGTAGAGTACTAATGATCAATATAGTATCAAATATGGTATGGTGTTCACGGACGGAAAGCGGAAGTGATGAGAAATCACTATGATTAATATAATAGAAAGTATTCTATTATTAAAAACAATACTGTATTAATTTTAACCGTTTTTTTGTTTGTTTTGAGCAAATCCCGATATAATCATCAACAATCGTTATTAATAATTATTATCAATTAATTATAATTAAACATAGTAATAAATATATATATATATATGTATATAATATATATATATATATATATATATATATATATATATTTGAGTAACTGCACTTTAGCCTGCTTTTTAATACTATATCTCTAACTCACTTAGGTTGACTGGAAGAGATCTCTTCTAGAGATAAGTCCACCTTTGCTAACTAATTTTATTGTTTGTTACCCTCTGTATTTTACATATAAGTGCAATAAAGAATAGTATATATAATTAATAATTATAGTAATACTACTTCAAGTCAAATCTGCTGCCGTATTAATACTTACAGTAAAAGGAGCTACTAAGACCAATTAACTTCCTTCCACTTAAACTTAAGTGTAGCCATTAATTCGGAATTTAAGATAGATAAAGAGAAATTGAATTTAAACTACTCAGTTCAAATTTGGAACGTAAGTGCGCTATTACAGCACAAAATCAACATATTATGTACTTTTATAGACTACTAGCATTGCCCGCGGCTCCGCCCGCGTTCAGATTACCAAAAACCAAGTTCTTAGGTTTTACATATTAGTATACTCTTACAATGCAGTTTTTGTACTTTTTCTATAGACATGAGATATTTTCCTGCGGTAAAAAGTATACCTATTGAAACAAATAACTAGCTATCACCATACCAAATTTCATGAAAATCCCTCCAGTGGTTTTTCCGTGATGCGGTAACAGATATACAGACAGACAGATAGACAAAAATCTAAAAACGATAGATTCGGCCTCTATATCGATAATAATGTCTATTTCAATAAGATTTTCAAAAAAATATTTAATGTACAGATTCGGCTTAGTTATAATCTATACATATAATAAAATTCTATCTTAGCCGAATCTGTACATTAAATATTTTTTGGAAAATCTTATTGCAAAGGACATTATTATCGACACAGAGGCTGAATTTATAGTTTTTAGAATTTTTGTCTGTCTGTCTGTCTGTCTGTCCGTCCGTCCGTCTGTCTGTCTGTTACCGCATCACGGAAAAACTACTAGAGGGATTTTGATAAAATTTGGTATAATGGTAGCTGGATATCCGGGTCAACAAATAGGATACTTTTTACTGCGGGAAAATATCTCATTTGTGAAAAAAAAATACAAAAACTGCTATGTAAGAATATACTAATATGTAAAACCTAAGAATTTGGTTTTTGGTCATCTGAACGCGGGCGGAGTCGCGGGCAATGCTAGTTTTATTATATGTACAGATAAATAATATTAAATTAAAAATTAAAAAAATTATTTTATAGAATAGTAATCATCAAAAACATCTAGAAAATGATTTTAAAACGAAATATAAAAAGTATAAATTTCGATATACATAATATCTATTATAAAACATTTACAAAACATAAAAATATCTTTATTTAAGCAATTTCATTTCGAGCGAATAACAACGAAAACGGAATGGCGGTGAATGAATTACGTTACCTCTCACCTGCGACGTTGTCATCTTAAACGTGACAAGAATTTTTGTCGGTATAAATAATTTTCTTTTGCTGTTTATTTAGAGGGATATAAATTATTGTTGGAAGCTTTTAGAAAGTTAAATTCATAATACAAGAGAGTCTTACAACTTACAAGCGTAGAAAATTTGATGTCATTATAACTTATATTTCTAATTTTTTATTGTTATTTAATACTAGCGACTCGTCGTTAGATACTAGAGATTCGTTCCTAGAAAAAACAAGTCTATCCCACGAGAACTTTACATTTTTCAAGTATAAAGAGTAACCTATGTGCTATTCCAGACTGTAATCTACGTTTATGCCAAATTTCATCCAGATCCGTTCAGCCGTTCTGGCGTGAAAGTGTAACAAACACCCATCCATTCTCACAAATTTTCACATCTATACATATAATAAAATTGTAACTAAGCCAAATCTGTACCTTAAATATTTTTTTTGGAAAATCTTATTGGAATAAACATTATTATCGATACAGAGGCCGAATCTATTATAGTTTTTAAAATTTTTGTCTGTCTGTTTGTCTGTCTGTCTGTTACCACATCACAGAAAAACTACTGGAGGGATTTTGATAAAATTTGGTATGGTAATAGCTGGTTATCCGGATCAACATACAGAATAGTTTTTACCGCTTGAAAATATCTTATTTCTGAGAAAAAATACAAAAACTGCAATGTAAGAGTGTACTAATATGTAAAACCTAAGAATTTGGTTTTTGGTCATCTGAACGCGGGCGGAGCCGCGCGCAACGCTAGTTTATAATATTAGTATGGATATTTTATATACATTTTCTGTAACTAAATTAGCAAGGGGTAACCATGTTTAAAATGAAATTCGCACTTGAAAATCTCAAAGGAATATGAAAACCCGTGAGAGTGTGTACTTACTCGCTTCACTTATTTTCCAACCGTATGCATAAGCCTCTATAATGAAAATATTATGTTCAAATTCATCCAGACGTTCTTCGCATTAATTATTCTTTTGATGATAATTCGCGATTAAACAATAAACAAATAAGAAAACCTACTAAAATCTGTATGTTTAGCTTCTATATCGCAAACTTTATATTTCAAAAAATACAAGTGTTGAAATTTTATTCGTTACAATAGTATTATATGTTTATTATGAATACTTCCTGTATTTAAACAGCAAGTCTAACTGTAATAAATTTATTCGTACCTAAAACGAAAAAGTATTTGATGAGGCACTCTCAAATCTGTTTATGAAGTAGGTACTAAAAGTTCTCCAATTAATTCAAAAGTCTCACAGATTGAAAACGCAAAACTTTTTCCACTAACAACACTCCTAATGATTGGTATATTTATAAATTTTACACCATATGTAGAGAGAAAAATAGTAAATCTTATTATTTAAAAAATTGTTATACTTATTGTCACTTTTACTGTTGGAATGAAGATCGAGATTTTAAAAATTTATATTAAAACTCTTGATGGAAACATCCGCTAAGAAAGAATTTTTAATAATCTACCCCTATAACGGACTAAATTTTTTCTTTGGTTGCGCTAACGCTCTATACTAGCTGCGAGTGCTACGTATATATATATATATATATATATATATATATATATATGTACTCGTATATCCCCGACTGCATAATAAATAATAATACATTCCGTCATCTACTTGTTCTCATTTTTAGTTCATTTTTTTATGGAGTCGGGTTTTTATTTTTGTAAATTATTTTTTCAAGCATATTGCGCGTACGAACAACTATGATTTTTGACACAGTTAATATTTTTTATATAAAAGATCTGCAGAAAACTAAGCTTATGCCCGCGGCTACACTCGCGTGCTTCATTTATGTCACTTCTACGTATAAAATTTGCAGCATGATGTTAGAAATTATATTTCTAACCTTAATCAACTTTCTGCGAATATACTATAAAGCTAAAAAAAAGCAAAAAGAGATTTTTTAATTATCTCTAGGTAATACTTTTTTTTGTTTTTTCGCGAATTTATTTTGATTTTTGGTTCCCGACGTTTCGAATGCTTTACAGCAATCATGGTCACGGGAGAGACTGAGGTGTTACATGTCTTAAAGATATAGTTGTTACAGACAGCCTACCCACAATTAACAAAATGAATTCAAAAAATTGAATCTCTAGGTACATATAAATCCGGAGTTTATTTATTGAGGAAGCTTGCAGGCTACCTATGTACCCTATGATCGATCACGACCACGGAGCACTCCTTAGTATATTTATTACTCAATATACGTTTTTGTTATCAGGGTTTGAAAGATGTTATAGTGAAGATGTTCATTGAAGTGTTAAAACTGGACGGCACCACTCTAGCCGCGTGGGGCAAGACCGTGGACTTCTGGTACAAGCACATCTTCGAAACGTTGAGCTTATCAGATGCAAGATAACGGCCGACACACTACACACTCGTGACAAGCTATTAAAAATGTATAATTATATAAAATTTTTAGAAACTTTATAGTGTTACTTGGTACGTTTGTACTATATATGTGAATATTTATTTGACTTTGGAGGAAAAACGTTTTCCTCATAATTTTCTATTTACATACAATTATATTGTCGGCCTTGTTTACTTACTTTTCATTTATGAATATAAATCATTCCCGTTTATTATAAGCATATTGTGTTATAATAATCAATGTTTATAATGTAGAAGAAATTAAGAATTTAATAAATATTTCATAGTTAACCCCCATGTATATTAATTACTTTTCGAAACATTATTACATTTAAAATAACATATCATTATAAATTAAATATATATTTTCTGTTTGTGTATTTCTATTACATAAGCTCTCTTCGAAGTAACTATCAACATACTAAAGTACGAGGTAAGTAAATATGTACACATATTATGTATGTACGTGTATATACGTGAGTTGACTACTCGCTAAAGATAGGTTTTATTTCCCTAGACAGTTATGCCAGTTTTATTATCTAGGTCTTTATTGAATATCAATTATATGTATTACTAGCATTGCCCGCGGCTCCGCCCGCGTTCAGATGTCCAAAAACCAAGTTCTTAGGTTTTACAGATTAGTATACTCTTACATTGCAGTTTTTGTATTTTTTCTCAGAAATGAGATGTTTTCCCGCAGTAAAAAGCATGCTATATGTTGACCCGGATAACCACCTATCACCATACCAAATTTCATCAAAATCCCTCCAGTGGTTTTTCTGTGATGCGGTAACAGACTGACAGACAGACAAAAATTCTAAAAACTGTAGATTCGACCTCTGTATCGATAATAATGTCTATTTCAATTAGATTTTCCAAAAAAATATTTAATGTACAGATTCGGCTTAGTTACAATTTTATTATATGATTTAGTAATATGATTTATTATTAATTTTTAGTAAATACTAATAGTTTATACAATATACATAGTTTCTGATAAGAACATATTCTAACATCTAATGAGAACATCAGAGTAAACAATTCCAAGGATAGGTAAAAAATAAAAAGCTGACCTACGAACGTTCCAACGATGTTCTGATCAAGAAGTAAATTGATTGAAATAAATTTAAATATTATCTAAATCATCAACTTCACCAAAATCCAAAAAGTCTATATCCAAGTTACGTATATATTAGGTATATAATAAAACATAAAAATGTCGTTAGTTTTTTTTCTATTGTACAGTTTGTACCATACCATTGCTCTACATGGCTTTACACAAGCTAAATTGCTGAAGAATAGATATGAATTATACGTAAAACAGGCATAATTTCATCTAAATACTACCTACTAACGACAAATAAAATTGTACACTCGTTTACAGAGCAAATATTTGGAACGAGATAAAAGCGGAAATCTTTTACAAAAGGTACTAAATTATGTATACTGTATAAATATTAAGACATCTTAATAGAGTTAATGGAAAGGAGAATTAATATTTACTTAGATTTGCGCGAATATTTGATTTTAAAACCATGCTGTCTGATTTTTTCGCGGATTTATTTTGATTTCTAGTTCCGAACGTTAGAATGCTTTACAACAGTGGTCACGGGAGTGACTAGGTTTTAAATGAACCAAATGTTGATAACCAAAAACCAAAATAAACCCGCGAAAAAATCTGAAAAGGTATTTTTATTTAAAAGTTAATTCAATCAATAGCCATCTTTGAAACGCATAGAACATAAACTATTACCTAGTAATTGCTTGTTTTTATTGTCGTAAAGATGATTAATTTATACATATAATAAAATTGTAACTAAACCGAATCTGTACATTAAATATTTTTTGGAAAATCTTATTGAAATAGACATTATTTTCGATACGATTTTTATTTTTTGTCTGTCTGTCTGTGATACTTTTTACCGCGGGAAAATGTCTCATTTCTGAGAAAAAATACAAAAACTGCAATGTAAGAGTATACTAATATGTAAAACCTAAGAACTTAGTTTTTGGTCATCTGAACGCGGGCGGAGCCGCGGGCAATGCTAGTCAATATATAAATACCTCCATAATACCAACTATTGTTACGTAGAACTTAAAATACATATTACATACTCGTACTTAATATTATAAATGTGAAAGATTGATGGTTGGTTTATCCTTCTTTCGCGTCAAAACAGAGATTGGCGTGATTTTTTGTGTGGAGATAGTTGGAGGGGTGGAGAGTGACAAAGGCTACATTTTACTGCGGAAGATTATCTCATTCCCACGGGAAAACACATAATACAACTCACAACAACTCATACCTGTACAATGTAAAACGTACATAGCGACAAACCCGAAGTGAGCGAAGTGAGGCACTAGTAATATATCTACGTAATATTGATAAATGATAAATATGATAAATATGTTGGGACATTAACACACACCACCATCTAGTTCCATGGTAAGCTACGAGGCCTGTGTTACGGATACCAGATAGTTGATACACTACTATAAAATTTATATATAATATATAATTATACATAATATATAATTTTAAATACATACATATTATAAATATAAACACCCATGACTGGATTACAAACATTCGTGCTCATCACACAAATGAATGCCCCCAGCGGGACTCGAACCCGCAACCGCTGGCATAGCAAGCAGGGTTACTACAAACTGAGCCAAACGTGTCGTCAAATTATTTAATTATAGAAACTATTTACAGAAACTATGTAAAAGTATTCATAGAAACTATGTAAAAATGAAAATATAATGAAAAGTTTATGTAATTTAAAACGGAACATAGTTTAAATTTACGGACAAAATATAATTACATTCCACATCGAGGTTGAACTAAGTGAGGAGGAAATAAAGGGCGGAAATTGATGACGAAAAGGTAGAGGCAGAGTACCTGTACCTATACTACCTACTAGACGACAAGCTTCATACAGAGGATAAAAGATTACAATATATATATGTATATAGCAACACAAAATTTTACAAAATATTTGCTCACTACCCATTTAAAAGCCATCACCATAAAAATATTAGATATGTGCCTATTAGTATCAGAACACTTACCTTACACACTCGATATAATATTTAATTAGTGTTTTATCGTTCTGTAAATATCATGTAACTAGCAAGCTTTGTATATATTTGCCAGTTCTTAGAGCACATAAGATAAATGTAGCCATATATATATACGAGCATGTAATTTTTACACAATCTATTTAATCTACTTACTACTAACTATTGTAAATAAAAAAATCATATCAAATATCTGTTTCATTACCTATAAGGAAAGTGGATAAAGACAAAGTTTTTTTTTTTAATTTAGCTTAAGTAGGTAATGCCTTTGAATGATTTTCAGCCACGGCGAGCAATCACCTTAAGACAAGCCAGCAATATTATTTGTACGTATGTATTTCCCATCGGGGAATCATTAAAAACCGCCATTTTCGTCTGACTTTTTTGCAAACTATTTTATTAATTAATAAATAATAAAAATTTCAGCCTAAAGTATATTTTTTGCTTATATGTATTTATAAAACAATTTTAGGGGGTTGCAATAGAACCGTCAAATAAGTCTAGGAATTTTATTTCTAACTAGTGGCTCACCCTCACTTCGCCCGGGTTCGCCTCTAGAAAAACACTAATAGAGATATATCAGTTCCCACGGGAACCGTTCATTTTTCCCGAATGAAAAGTAACCTGTTGTTTGACCGGCAATATAAGGTATCAGAATGTTAAATTTTACTAAATTAGGTGCATAAGTTGTATAAGTTATTATAGTTTTTTAAGTATCCCACGGGAACTATTTAATTTTCCGGGATAAAAAGTAACTATGATGTTGCCCGGGGATATAAGGTACCACCATGCAAAATTTCATTTAAATCGGTCTAATAGATTCGGAGATTAGCCCGTACAAACAGACAAACAGACAGAGAAACAAAAAAATTGAAAATAATCTAGATTTATTCTATTTGTCTTCTTACATCCCCCTGACTCGGTATTTTAGCATTTTTTTACTATGTACAGACATTCGACCTCTACTGTTTTATTATAGTATAGATTACAATAAGTGCTAAAATAAAAGATTACAAATAATTTCAAGTTGCCTAAAGGATATTTTTTTCCGATAATTTTTTTACTAATGTCACATGAAGTTGCAAAATAACCGAAAACCCCGTCCACGAGTCTCCATTCCATATTTCCTACATCGTAAATTAAAATTTATAATTTCAAGTTGCCTAAAATACCTGCCCAAAATTCGTTATCAGCTCTCAGACGATTAGGCACAAGACCGATGTTACTGAGAAATAAAATTAACAAACAATGTAACCTCTTATGGGACTCAACGCGTGTATTCGTAAGTGGCAAAATAACTTTTTCCCTGACTTTTGCCGTGGTCTCGGGCAAACTTTAATTAACAGAATAAACCAATAACTATATTGCCCGTCCTAGAACTCAAACCCAGGATCTCTGGAACCGTTACATGTTAGCCACTAGACATACATAGTAAAAGATAATGCTAAAAATTCAAAAGTTAATATATACGCTATATGAGCAAAAAGAACTCGGGTATTTTATGCAAAGCTATAATTTGACAATTTTTATTTAACACTGAAGTCGCCTGGAGGCAATTAAATAATTTCCAGGCCATGTTAATTAACCTGAAAAGTAGAGCTTCGTTTTTTATCTTTAAAAAACAAGAGATTGGTCTGTGTATTTTTTTACTTTGATGTATGTAGTGATTCTTACTAAATTAAAGGAGCGATGAACACACAGCGTAAATTTTATTATAAGGTCCTTCTTGACGTCGTTCATAACCATTTAGGCTAAAATGAATTGTCACTTTCATGCCATTTCAAGGGTCTGATCGCAGCCCTACATGTAGAGTTCATGCTATTATATAATATATTATACTAGCGACTCACCCTCGCTTCGCTCGGGTTCGTCCCTAGGTTGATTCCCTATACAAACTTTCAT